AAGTCTTTTACCAAAATAATCGGCACAGAAAGCTCTACAAAGCAGAACTTGCCAATAAGTTTTCAGAGACGTTTCAGTTTTTTTTGTGGTCGATTACTGATAGAAGTATCTGGAAAAAAGGTAAATTCAGTATTGAAGTAGATAATGCTAGGTTTCAAGTGTGTTAATAAGCTGCTGCTACATAAATAAAAACTTTGAAGTTTTCTCTATCATCAGAAAAAAAATCAGCTTATTTGGTTAGAATACAGTGGAGATATGCAATTTTATTTTTGGTAGGTGACTTTTAGGACACTCTGTATACCAAATTAAAGCTCATTAAGAACTGGATTTATGGGTATAATTAATAGGCCGTACAGCAATTATTGACTATTAGAATTATTGAAATGTCTTCCACTATATACCAAAATGAGCTCGTATTTTACGATTTTCATTCTTCATGTACATATTTTCATAAAAAATAATAGTAGATTCGTAATCTCCATCAAAAACTGAATCCAGAGACACCCAGGTGAATGAATCCGATACAGGAACCTATTGGATCCGACCATCCGATAGAATCCGATGGGATTCCGGGAAACGAATCTACTAACGGATCCAACGGATGAAACCTATTTAATTAATTAAGTGCTAATCACTGACTGGTGGCAATAGTAGAGATCAGTCATAGCAGGGCATTGGATTCCATCGAATTCCGACAGTAGGATCCCATCGGATTCTAACACTAGGGATCCGGATGTCGTTTTGTTTCCCGGATTCCGATAGGATTTCGTCGGTTTTTAGGAATTCACATAAAATCCGAGTCGGTCCTATTGTCGAATTGAATCTCCTGCGCATGTCATTTGTATAGTTTTGATGAAAAAACGTTTTCGAAAAAAATCCTGGGTGAGTACGATGGAGATCATGAATCTACTATTATTTTTTATGAAAATATGTGCATGAAGAATGAAAATCGTAAAATACGAGCTCATTTTGGCATATAGTGGAAGACATTTCAATAATTCTAATAGCCAATAATTGCTGTACGGACTATTAATTACACCCATAAATCCAGTTTTTAATGAGCTGGAATTTGGTATATAATACTATGTAATATCATTTACAATTGAATTTGCTAGAAAGGGGTGTAATGGTTAAGTAACACTGTATACATTTCGTGAAACAGGAAGACCCTTACTTAAAGTATCTCAAAACATTTTCAGAATTATGAGACTTGTTTATAAGGAAAAATTCAAGTTGCAATTGCATCATTGACTTGATATCTTATTAATTCCTGATCGTTATTTAAAAATTCTACAAGACAAATCTTTTTTCTAGAGAAAACGAAAGTATTGAGTTGCCATTGGATGACATGAATAACTTGATAAAGAATCTTTTAATTGTGTTATGAATAATACAGGTAACAATTAAAACGTCAATCGAAACAATGTGAATGAATTTTATTTATCTGTAATATATGTAGGACTTATAATTTGCCAAGTTTAAAGTTGTGCGTCCAAATAATTTGTTTCAATATTTAATAGTTTTGAAAAGTTCAATAACTTATTCTGTAAAATTCCTTAAAAAGAAAGTCGCTCGATACATAAATTTGAATTTTTAAATATTCATCCTCCATCAATGTTTCATACCAGCAGTAGTCACAAATAACCATTTCATATTAGAAATATTAGAAAAAAATTGAGAATCTTCCAAAAGATTCAGTTACAAATACCATGATGGGAAACAAGTATATTTATTAAGATCTTATCAAAAGCCTTACCCGCTAAGCTGTACTAGTCTCGTTTTCTTCCTGATTGTCAAGCTTAAGATGTTTATTTTGAAATTAGGGACGACTAAGGTACTTCTGATCAGAGTAACTGTGTTACATTTTTTGTCTCTACTATGGAAACTATTATTTGTGCAATAATAAAAGTATAAATAAACCTGAGAAAAGACTATGAAACAAAACATCTTTTATTAACATTGGTAATACACATTTTCATAGAATTTGAGTCTGATAATTTATTCATTAGTGTAGGCCGAATATTAAAATTTTCTTTCTAGAATAGGAACCACTGGGATTCATAAAGAATGCATCAGAAATTTTCGTTCATATAGTTTTTTAAAAGAGAAACGAATAGTTGATTATTGTGCTGTTCAATATTAAATTCTTAAAATAAATAGATGATTTTTTGTTAAATATCAAACAATCATATACGACTGATTAATTATTTGTTTCAACAAAAAAAATGTTTATTCATCCACCAATTTAGAGCTGTCTTTACAATTATTATAACGTTTAACTAGTTTTTAAGAACAGAAAATTAAGAATACTTTTTCTAACTAATGACACTGGGAACAGTAGAAAAAATCGTTAATTTGCCATAAAAACTGTCAAGGTGTCATTTATTTTTTTCGTTGAAAATCTCTTTTGTTATTATTAGAAAGAATCAGAGACCGAACCGAACTATAACGGTTCTGTTCGTTTTCGGTCACTGGAAAGAATAAAGGAAATGAATTGAAATTTTCTAATTTTATATATATATTAATTTATTCTATTTTCTTGTGTTAATTAGGTGAATCAGCTGAAAATATTACTACCAATAAACAAGATTCACCCACAACTTCAACTGATTCAATTGAAACATTTCAATTAGATTTTTATCATGTTCACGTTCATTTCTTATTTTCGGAAAAAGAGAAAAAAGCTATATTTGAACGTTTTAATGAAGCAAAACAATTTTTGACAAATGTTATTTCAGCTGATCCTCGCTGTACCCAAGTATGGGCAAATATTATTGCAGATGCTTATGAAAAAATGACAGTACATTCATCAACATCACAAATTATTCAACTACTTTTTAGTACATCAACTATCACAACATCTAGGTTACAAGAATTGATTGCAACAAAAATTATTATCGCCATTGTTCATCCGGATGCAGCAGCAAATCCATCGGTTCTTGATCCAGTTAGAACCAAGGAATATGCAACAACAACAAGATTTGAAGATAAAGCCTTAATTGCAATCAATCCAATGGTATTTAACAATGAAACAACAAGTAAAAATTTTATTATTATGTAAATACAGTGGGCCAAGAAATCATTGGAACACCTGCATCTAATCATAAAGGCAGACTGTTTGCCAGCGAATGCAAGGTCTGATTTTCATTCTGATTTCACCAGAATGTAGCCCTATATTCTGCCTAACTACATTGCAGATATCAAGGTCAGGATCCAAAAACTTGTGTTTTTCAAAGCAAAAAATTATTGGAACACCTGCATGTATTGAGTTCCAGTTTCTCTCCAATGACACGAATATGCTTCTATAATATACCATTGGAAAGAGAAAATTCTTCTCTTCATGATGAGATACTTTTGACAAAAAATTGAACTTGAAAATAAGTCGAAAATATAAAAATACCAAAGGGGTCTCTAGGTTTTTAGAAAACTTAGGTTTTGAAAATTTTAACTGCATCAATTTTCAACTTCAAATACACCATTCGAAAGAGCATCAAAACCTGAGTCTACAGATGTGTTTCATGATCCTGGATAGAACTCGAATATAAGGGGAAAAGGTAGTTTTCGTTTTTCAGCTCACTGACGAATTACGTTTTGAATTTTGCCAATGCTAAGAGACATGTAAATTTTTTCTGTAAGTGCAGTTTTGTAGAGAATTTCTTTCTCTACAAATTGATTATCTTCTTAGTTGCAACCAAATTAAACCGTAGTACGTTCAGGCCCTTCTTTCTGTTTGACAATTCCATGCACCGCGAAAAAAACTATCTCACACAGAACAGGAAGAAAAATATGTTCTTTCTGCGTAGAATTGTCAAACAAGAAGAAGGGTCTGAACGAACTACGGTTCAATTTGGTTGCAACTAAGAAGATAATCAACTTGTAGAGAAAGAAATTCTCTACAAAACTGCACTTACAGAAAAAATTTACATGTCTCTTAGTATTGGCAAAATTCAAAACGTAATTCGTCAGTGAGCTGAAAAATAAAAACTACCTTTTCCCCTTATATTCGAGTTCTATCCAGGATCATGAAACACATTTGTAGACTCAGTTTTTGATGCTCTTTCGAATGGTGTATTTGAAGTTGAAAATTGATGCAGTTAAAATTCTCAAAACCTAAGTTTTCTAAAAAACCCAGAGACCCTTTGGTATTTCTATATTTTCGACTTATTTTTAAGTTCAATTTTTTGTCAAAAGTACCTCATCATGAAGAGGAGAATTTTCTCTTTCCAATGGTATATTATAGAAGCATATTCGTGTCATTGGAGAGAAACTGAAACTCAATACATGCAGGTGTTCCAATAATTTTTTGCTTTGAAAAACACAAGTTTTTGAATTCTGACCTTGATATCTGCACTGTAGTTAGGCAGAATATAGGGCTACATTCTGGTTAAATCAGAATGAAAATCTAACCTTGCATTCGCTGGCAAACAGTCTGCCTTTATGATTAGATGCAGGTGTTCCAATAATTTCTTGGTCCACTGTGGAAAAAATCAGAATTGAAAAAAATTTTTTTTTTGATCTTATTCATTGATTAATTAGAATAGTACATTATAATGAATCAACTTTCATTTCGACCATTAAAAGATTTAGAAAACTGAATATGTTTCGTTTTGTTTGTTTTAGTTCATGGAAGTCGTATTTCTCGTGAATCATGCACTTTATTTTTGGCTANATGCAGGTGTTCCAATAATTTTTTGCTTTGAAAAACACAAGTTTTTGGATCCTGACCTTGATATCTGCAATGTAGTTAGGCAGAATATAGGGCTACATTCTGGTGAAATCAGAATGAAAATCAGACCTTGCATTCGCTGGCAAACAGTCTGCCTTTATGATTAGATGCAGGTGTTCCAATGATTTCTTGGCCCACTGTAGAAAAAATCAGAATTAAAAAAAATTTTTTTTTTCATCTTATTCATTGATTAATTAGAATAGTACATTATAATGAATCAACTTTCATTTCGACCATTAAAAGATTTAGAAAACTGAATATGTTTCGTTTTGTTTGTTTCAGTTCATGGAAGTCTTATTTCTCGTGAATCATGCACTTTATTTTTGGCTATTCTTTTATCACATGAAATTACTCATGCAGTTAAATATATTGGTGAAAAACAAAAAACTATACCAGAATTATCATTTTTTAGAACATATTCAAGTCCTGATGAATATGATGGTGGAAATGCATTGGAACATGAATTGTTTTGTGGTGAAATGCATATTAATCGTGATTGTACACGTACTGATGTTGAATTGTTTATCATTGGAGCAGATGGCCGATATTTTAAACTCTCACCGTCAGATATTAATAATTGTTTAACAAACAATAGTCTTCAATCATTATCATCATTAGTTCGTCGATTAGGATTGAAACGTCAACGTATAAATGATAGTAGAAAAACTCATTATGATTATTCCGAATCAACTGATTATGAAAATAAGAAGAACGATGAAGAACTTGTACCTCTACTTCGTTATCATACACGAACAAGTGTTTTTAAAGAAACGGATAATGTTAATCCAAATGAATATTATCAATCGTTGTTAAAGTACCACTGTGAAAAAGACACTTCGCAAGCCCAATCTCCAGATGATCCACTATTATCATGATATTATTGTTTCTCATGTACTTAGGATTTTTCAAAAGTTTTGATAAAATTAAATAAAAACAGGGATTGCCGCGACATGGTACAAGAAAGATGGGATTTCGAAAGGAATTTTTCAAAGAAAAAGAAGGATTTTGGTAGAAAAGAAGCAATATCCATTGAAGAACTGCTTGTGAAAATAGGAAAGTGTAAAAAAAACGTCCAGTAATAAGAGATGGTATTAGAGCTCGAACAAAAAAATCATTTCGAATTCATGATTTGGTCACTCTGCAAGATCTCAAATCGATTCGATAATACGTGAGAAGAGAAGAGAATACTCGAAGATGACCTGTTGCATTTCGGTAATTGAGAACAAATATTATTTTGTTATATCAATCACTTTAATTACTCTTGATAGTTTTTATTAGATCAAATGCACGGCTTCACGTTGCTGGTATCACAAATGTTCGTGAATGATAAAGTTTGCACGTGAATAAGGTATGAGACATAGAGATGAGCGGAACCAAGATGAATCGTGAAAATGTACGTTCGTAATAGCGGTTGTTTTTCATCGAAAACTGAATTTGTGGCTCTAGACAACTCGACTCTTCTTTTATTTTTATTTACCTAAACAAAAACTTTCTGAAATTTTCGAAAGTATATCCTTCACGTTTCTGAATTTTCTAATTTTATTTTCATTTTACAGTAAACCTCGTCTTTGTTTTAAAAGTCTGTCGATGGGGACCGAGACTTTTCTAAAAACGAGTTTGCAGACGAGGACAAAAAAACCGAAGAATTTAAGGGACTGTAGTAGTGGCAAAAAGTTTAGCAACAACGTATGTTGAATTTTTTGCTCTAATTTTAAGCACCTAGCTGAAATCCAAATAGCGACTTTAATAGTTAATGAAGTGCTCTATCAAATGCATTCTATACCAAGATTTCATAGGTAACTCACGATGGCCATATTTCTAATTTAGTACGACCAGCAACAAATGGCCATAAAGAAAGAGTTCGACTAAGTGCTTCTTTAAGTTGATCAATTTTTATTTCAGATGGATAGACAAATACATTATTAATACGTGCCAAGATTAGGGAACTGCAAAATCACTTTTTTTAGTCTCGGTCTCGGTCTTTGACAATGGTTTCATTTCTAAAATCGAGCAACTTGTTTTTACGATTTGTGTACTTTTATGAAAACATAAAATTGACATGAATGATTTTGATTCGTTAACAGTACGAAAATTCTTTTATATTTAGTGTTAAAGTGAAAGAATTTCACTGAAAGCTCGAATAAAAACAAATAACCATTGAATTTTGTTAAAAATTCTCATATACTTCGTAGCAGTCATTTACTTATTTCTCTCTTCTTTTATATCTACTACTCTACCTAATGGATTTATTATCGAATTGATTATTTATACTGAGTAGTCATTACGATTGTCAAAAAAAACATAAACGACGATACATATCTATTTACTATTATCTGATGAGACTTCAATAAAGGAATCATCAAAGAATGAACAAATTAAACTTACGTATATAGTGTGATGTTGGGTGTTTTATATGTATTCAAAAACCTGTGCAATTGGAAAACTCAGATTCTTACCAACAGACTCGTAATCACTAAAGACTTTTATAGAAATAGCAAATAAAAATATCTGATTTACAGATCTTAAATCATGTCAAAATAATAAACGTGAAAATATATTGCATAAAAACTGACCGGGACCGGGGTCGGGACCACTTTGCAGTTCCCAAGTCATACTATTTTTGAGTACCATATAATATCCTTTATATGTCATAACCAGTGTGAGAACCCTCACGACATAAAAATATGAAGAAAAATTCCTTTTTTAGGTACTTTTCGATGAGCCGTAACTTGCTCCATAAAAGCCATATATATGATATCATGGTGCTAGATTGCTCATGTTATCCGGCGGGATTCTTTGAGCATGGGCTCAAAAATTCATCCTAGATTCCTTCGTCATCAAATATGGAGTCTATGCCTTCAATCGATTTAACTGAACTTTCTCATATAAAATATAAACATCTTGCAACACCCTTTGAAATGATTTAATGAAGCATAGGTATTGAATTCAAAAAGGATTTTGAACCTTTATGAAGGTTATCAGTTTTGTTTTCAGACATAATATCAATCTTTATGCCCTGGCTGATCGTGCCCTGAGGGTAGGGCAGGGCGAAAAGTTTTTAATGATTCATTGTCAGGACAGGGCAGGGCTAGATAAATCAGGGTAAAGGGCAGGACAAGGCAAAAAAAAGTGCTCTGTGACGGTCTCTGGTCTCCAGTATACATTAGAAAAAAAAATTATAGATCAATCAATTGGTCTGTTTAGTTTTTATTGACGATACAATCACACCATGCCGTTTTTCATCTTTTCAAAGGTATCTAACGACTCATCTTACAAATTGTAATAGTTACTTAATTTTATTGCTCACTACATCATTAGCAAAAAACAGTATATAGATTACGTCAGATATTCTATTTGAATAGAAATTTTACGTTGAAAAATTGTTTTTTTCATCTCCTATGTATAACACTAACTAAAGGTAGACGTTCTTATGCTATCTTATTTATGCATCCAAGAAGGTACAAGTTGTTTTAACAGTCTGGATTTCTAGGGAATCTTTTTCCGTAGGAATCTCTTATATTTGAAATCAAAATCAATCATATCACAAAAACTATAGTCCTGTGTAGATAGAGGATGACATTTAGAACAACCTACTATGTTAAGTTTGGTTTGATACATTCTTGTTTAGTGAGATGCATATCCACTCTGTTGCTGGAACTGCAATAAGCTTTTCTTTTTGCTTTTGCTATTTATAGTGTAACAAAGATAAAGAGCTTAAGGTATATAATTCGTTTTGATTTCAAATACTTGTAAGAGTTTGATACGGAAAAAGAGTCTCTACAAATCCACGTTGTTAAAATATCAGTACAAGATTATCTATCGGGATATTTTCTGATGCCGTTCTCGAGATTATCATAACAGAATATGGTAATTTGCGACGCATATGTCTGATTAGTAAAAGAAGAAAATTTGCAAAAGGCTACATAAATGCAATGCGAAGTGATCTCAATTCTCGGCAATGAAGCTTCAATTAAAATAAGAACGAAAAACGATTTCACCTAAAGTCAACCTTGTTCTGTCGAAAGTTTTCATCATTTGTGGTAAAAGATGAAGCCCAATTCGGCAAACTTACCGTTTTGCGGAACTTATTGAGGATTTAAAAACAGATTATTATTTATGCCCTTCGATTCTCTTAGAAAACAAATATGATGTGCAATAATTTTTTTCACTTTACATATTGTGTATTAGTATAATCAAGCAAACAAGACTGTGTGAGTTCTACATTTTAATTCCTAAGGGGCTTCGTTAAAAAGTTTTTAATCAGTAGCAACTAGCCGCTCCATGAAATAGCCATCTCTCCATATCGTGGGTCGTTCTTGGATACACCTAGTTTCTTCCAGACAGCTGGAGACCCATCAACAATATTGTAACGACACGGTGGTTGTCCCGCATGTACTGCATCACATCCATGTACCGAGTCGCATTCATCAACGACTAGAGCTGTTGTCGTCCTGCCATTGCCATGAATGGTAATTTGTTTCCCGCATCGCGATCCCTTATTGTACCATCCTGTTGATAAAGCGACAACGCGCTGCGTATCGGGATAAAAACGTCCATAACATGCACCTCCACCACCACCATCACCACCTTTTCGGAAACTGTTTAATGTGAGTATAGCTGAGCTAGTTGATTTAGGAGAGCATTTATATTGCTTATAAGATTTTCCTTTCTTACAGCACTCGGATCCATTTTCTGTGTTGCAGTTGGTACTAGAAAAAAAAACAAATACATAATGCACAGAAAAGCTATATAAAAAGATTACCTTTTGCCTTTCAATACACCTGAAGGTAAACAGGTTCCAGAAGACTTAATACCACATTTTCCGTTCACACAAACCAATGATCCATCACAGTCATTTTCAGTTCTACATGAAGCACCAGCACAATGTCCAGGCCATGAGCAAGTTGCTCGTTGTAGAATTATGTGTGATTGACAAGTACTCACAAAAATTAATCCGATAAGAAAGAGTATCATTGTCTAAGTAAGAATTGATCAGAATATCTAGAAAGCAAAACAGGATTGAAAAATACTTATGATTCATGCGTACAAAGATGCTACATCTATGAACTATTCTTGGAGTTTGATATTTCGCAACGACGAGCATTACTTGTAATTTATCACCTGTTAAAATGGAACATGTTTACTATAATATTAGATTTTAATATCAATAAAAGTTATTCTTGCTTGATTAATTTAGATATGTTTAATATTAAAAAAGGATATTTTTAGCAGCATGATCAAAGCATCGTCCATCTTTGCTTTTATGAAACGCCCTCTTCTCTCGTAATATTTGGTCAGAATTTCTGCTTCTGTTTATTTTTTTTTTTTGAATTGCTATTTGTTGTATTGGAAAATATTTAAGTTTAAAAATGAAAATGTTCGTTTATTTATTTTTCTAATGACATCCCCGACCGAATAAAATAGCACGTAGATAGTCGTATACAGCACAAACATAGTGATTTTCGGCCTGGAACAGGTGACTGTATACAATAGCCGTTTACATGCTGTAACTGCATCATGTTTATGTTGCTTTATTAAAGCTCCTAAAATTCCACATGTCATCGAAGTCGTGCAAAATTGCATTTAATTAAATAGTATTCCTAATGATCCAACGTAGTCGTAGTATTGGCATCTACGATTACATCTCGACACGTATACCTCTACCATGTGTCATCGTACTCATATATGGTTCTTCTACATTTGAAGAGAAATCATGTTTCTCTCCATTCATAGTGAATAAAAGAAAAAAAGTTTTGTTTTTTTAAATAAAATAATTTCTACCATTCACTTTGATGATCAGATGATTCTAAATAAAACAGAACAAAAATATGTGTAGTTTTATATAATAATATTTATATTTCTTTTTGTAATCGACGAACAAAAACTGATTTTATGATATCTATTTAGATAAGATTTTTTTAGTAGTCGTAATTATACGACAATTGTGACGGAGAAAAAGAGAATTATGAGAAAGAAAAAAGAAAAATTTCTCAAGCGTAACAAATAAATACACATTGAGTCAATGACGATGGATAAAAAAAGACAAGCTGCGACATTATTCTTTATTTGTTTCTATTGATTTGATGTGCGTATGTATATATCTACGCCCAACGATTTTATTTTGATTGTGAATTGAGAGTATCCATCTTATTTATGTTCAATTATTTTGTGAAATGACATTCAAATGTTGTTTTTTTCTTAGCTTCATCAACAATTTTAAAGGCACCAAAAAAATAATCATAATTAAATATAGATATATAAAATCAAGAATAACAAGATTAGCATGCAACTAAAATATTTATTTCAATGTAAGTGAATTTTCGGCGGATTTGTTGTTTTCCATCATCATCAGACTAAATTCAAATTCAATACTACAAAAATCAATATTCATAACCGATAATTCATGATTATATCTGTTTCATAGATACATACCCAAAACAATACTGCGAATAAATATAATCATAAGTAAATAAAGTGTATATTTATATATAAAATCAAGAAGTGAAAATTGAAAATGCACTTATATTGAAATATCACGTATATCAGTAGTGAAAGAATAAGCACAATATAAATACTCCAGCAACGGATATTTCTTGTGTCAAGCAGACTTTTCTGTTCTTTGTGAAAATGTTCTTGTCCTGGGTATGAGTCTTTCATTCATTGAAATGGGATCAATTCTTGCTTTGTGACACAAATTTTTGTTTTCGTAGGAGTAATCAGAATAAAGTCTATTATTATTTTTGATCTGACTTACGAAATTTGAGTAGTTTTCAAGTAAGAAAAACTTATGTTGATCACTTACAGATAAATTTCATTTATCATTCCAGAGAATAAAAACAAATTTTCTAAATTGTCAAGTTCGTTGCAAATTGGTCAGTGATCCATATTTGAAAATTAAAAATATTGCTATCGCTGACTTATCAATAAACTAATTCTGAATATTGACTTAATCCGAATCAAAGTTATCTTATTTCGAAAGTTTCTTTTTCATCATCATTGGATGATAGTCATGAAGTTTTCTTAGCTGAGAAAAGCTCAAATTTCTTTGTTGTGATCAAGAATAATAATAGAAATGATTTTGATTATCCGGATGAAAGTATAAACGTGTGCTACTAACTAAAAAATGCTCTCATTTCAATGAACCGAAGCAGAGATATTTGCATATTTCATAGTAATGTTATCTGTGGTTCATCTTGTATAGAAATAAGTATTTCGAGGTCTCACATTAGACTTTTTCATGAACATAATCGCAGTAAACAACATCAGTTTATCGCAAACAAAGTATTTTTATTTTTATTTTCCGAATCGTTAAAGAAATGATATAAATGAATATTTACAATTGTAAATATGATCATTTTTTTTTCTCTTGAATAAGAAAATTAAATTAACAGAGATCACAAGTCATGTTACCAAGACCGCGTCACTTTTGACGATTAATTGGCGATTTTCCCACAAACTTCAACAGTAAGCATTATTATATAAAAGTAAATATTTATTTTCTTTTATCTCGATCATCTGATCTTCATAATGAAAAATGGTTGTTTCCTTATGTTCCAAGAGTTCTTTTTTTTTTTACAGAAACCATGTTGACATTGTTGGTTAAATAAAAGATGAATAAAATTACACGATTGGTTCTGGTATGCATTACATAGTTAATGCTTCTATAACTGATAATTCTTTCTGCCTGGATATCTTGAGAGGTCAAGGGTGAAAAATGACCGGAAGTTCCTCCCCCTGTCGAACATCCACAGTACGGTTTTTTGGACTGAAGTTTTTTTTTCTAATAGTGACTAGAGACAAATCTGAGTGCGCGCTTTTTCTTTCTTCAAAAAATATCGTTGTTGAGGCTCGGGAGAAGCAAAACATTGGACGCACTATCCGAAAATCATTAAAAAAAAAGCTTTTCCGAATGGTGTTAAAGTTTTCAAATTTGCCGAGCTCCGTAGGTACAATATTTTCAAGAAAAAAAAACGAATCCCAATTTGATCGTAGTACTCATTAAAAAAGTTTGAACACTATCGGTCATACTTTGTAGGAGAAAATAACAAAAGAAGTTGACTTTTTGGCTTTTTAGTATAAAACGGAGTTTTTTTCGAGTTGTTTACATGCCAAAAGGTGGTTTTGCCTTCTGACAATGTTCTCAGTAGATAGAGAGCAGTTAAATCTATGTACCAAAAATAAAAAGTTGAAAAAGCTGAAAATTTTGGGGTCGGAATAGATGGAATGCTCTTAATTTAAATCAGAATTGTTGGTGGGCTGATTCGTTCGATCTCGTTTCCTTCTTCTGATTGTATAAATAAAACATTTTGTTACATAAATAACACGTTGGATTTTAGCAAGTTCATTGTCAACTACAGTCATCTGTGACGAATGATAAATCTTAATGTCAAAACTGAAATTTAAAGAGAAAAAACTAAAAAAGAATGGTGTGGGTGATAGTTGGGAAACAGTGAAGACCAACACCCACCCACACCCTCGGAATTTGTTCATTTAAAGTACGAAAATTGGAATGAATCACAGATGAAATTTCATTACTAGAAGAAAACATTGAAGAATATGATGCAAAACAAGTGAGTTAGCTCAAAATGAATAATTTGCCGTCAAACTTGGACAAGAGGATGTGAGATGTGGATGGGTGGGAGTCTGGATGAACACAGAGCCAACAGACATACCCACACCCTTCTGTGAAAGTTTGACGAAAACTTATTGATTTTGAGCTAACTCAATTGTTTTGCAGCATATTCTTCAATGTTTCCTTCTAGTAATGAAAGTTTCTTTGTGATTCATTTCAATTTTCGTACTTTAAATGCACAAATTTCGAAACGATCTTACTTGTCATGTATGAAAACAGCAACAATACTATCTTATATGAAACACTTGCATATGGTATATTGAGAATTAAATGGCGAATCTTTTAGAAAAATTAATAGACTAAACACAATACTGCGACAAACGCTTATTCTAAGCTACTTGTTAGTTACATTGAAATGAATCATACAAATGTGCGAAACTTGACTGAATACATCTCATGTCATGTCTAGAAAATCAACGATGGAAAGCTTCCATTTGTTGAAGTCATTATTTGTGCTGTTTTTTCCGAACAGAAACAAGAAGGCAAGATTATCAATAATTTGCCAATCCATTCTAGGTGTGTATTGAAAACATAAATAGCGTAACACTGGCAGAGATTGATCTATGGCAAGAGTGCACTAAACTGAGACAACAACAGGTCACATTCATCAATTATCATGTTCTAGACTGTCGTCATCGTTAATGGGTCAGTGTATACAACTGATGATGGCACGCGTGTTCATCACCTTCGCTTGGGTTTCGTCGGCGTTCGCTATCCTATCTCTATCGCTAGTTGTCAGAACATAAGGAAGCAATCCAACCGTCATCATGCTTAACAAAACTGTTGCTGCTGTATCGATCATGTACAGAATCCTTGGCATTTCATTGAGTATCACTGGAACTCTGTATAGTGGTTTCACAAAATTGGGTACAGGTGCCATTTTAGGGATCGTTACTATTATTGTAAGTATTTTCAGTACTATTTTGGCTATTATGATTCCTAAATATTAAATATAAGCCAAGTGCACACATTTGGATACTTTAAATAAGTATTATTCTGCTATTTCTATGACTAAATAATCAGATATGTTTGCTTTTGAAAAAATAAATAAATAAAGGAGCAAGTGCTAATCATTATATTAATTTGATTATTTCTTGTGTTGTTGAAAACAAGAAAGAAATTAAGATAAATTTCAAATGATTCATATCGATGACTGACATATATGAATGAACTCATATTTCAATATAACACCATTGAATCAACACACTCTCATGATACTAATGTATGTTGTAAAAATTCTAAATATACCTGATGATTGACAACTTGAATAACTGTCTGCTTTGAATTCCTTTACTTTCGAAACTCATCCATATTCGTACCTTCAAAATAGTTGTTGATGCAA